GATGGGAGAGGGATGTCGTTTGAGCGTTCTCCGAATTTGTAGGAGACGATGTTTAAGTTCTCTGACTCTGTCGTTATGGAACCACTATCTTTAGACATATGGAATGAGATTAATGGCAGGGATGGAAGAGGTGGCAGCAGAATGTATGCCATTGACAGTATAATGCTTCAAGGTTATTAATGCCAGCTGATGGAGAGTAAGTGGAAGACCAATCGTCCATGAAAGCAGTGAACCGATTTCAGTCTGCTCTTTTGATGCTCCATATGTGAATGGGAGGAGGTAGACGGAGGCGAGGTGTATCCAGCATTATGGCAGTAGCAAAGTGGTCCGAGGAAAGATAAGGATGGATGGTCCAAGTAGCAGAAGGAAGTAGGTTGTCAGAAAGAAAGGGAAGATCAAGAACGCCTCCTCTGGTGTGAGTTGGAGTTCCTGCGTTAAGAAGCGATGCGGATAGGAAATTGTGGAGCAATCGAGCTAGAGATTGTCCTGATCTGCATATATTATTTGAAGAGCTGGAGTTAGGCTCATTCCAAATTGGATGACGGGCATTGAAGTCACCCAATAAGATTGAAGGGGCGCTTTCCAAGTCAGCAAATATGTGGTCAAGGTTTAGTTTGGCGCTGTATCTTTGAGGCCTACAAATATTGTAAATCCGTAATTCGAGGTTATGAAGGGCTACTGAAAGTCCTTGAAACTGTTTCTGGACCACAGGGGAGAAAGTTAAAGTTTGTGGAATCCAGTGTAGTGAGAGGGGGAAATGTGTGATTTCAAGAGGGTTTCCTGAAGGGTGACTATGTCATATCTTTGTTCTGCGAGGGCTAGGTTTAACAAGGGGAGATTCGACTGGATGCCGCGGATGTTCCACTGCAGTATATTTATCTGTTGTAGCTGTTGGTTATTATTAGTCATAATCAGAGTTATCCTGGTCAATGGCAGAGCCTTCATAGCGAAGGAGACCAAGCTGTGGCCGAGGTTTCGTCTTCCGGAATATGGAGAACTGAAGGTGGCCTGTCTTCGGAAGTGAGGATTTCCGGTAAGTTATTAGGTGTATAGTCTGTCTGAGGAGGAGGGTTAGTAGTAACATTGGTGATTTTGGTAGGATCATCAACTCTGATGATTTCTTTTCCATCTAAATTAGAGGCAGGAGTGGAGTGTTCACTGCCAGAGGAAGAGTGACGCACACGTTTGCGTTGGGCCTTGCCGTCTGGAAATCTTTGAGGCCCTTTGGAGGTGTTGGAAAGCTTAGTTTGGCTAAAGCTTCTACTTCTAGAGTTTCCTGTTGAGGTGGATGGTGTCTGTTCATAGGTTGTGGTGCTTGTGCTTGGTTCAGCATGAGATTCTTGTGGCTGAGATGTACTGATGGGAGGTAGTGAGGGAGGGGCCTCAAACTACTCTGGTAGAATTGGGTTCTCATCATGAGTCTTAGGCTTGTCACGTGAAAAGGAGAGCTTGTCCAAAAGGTTAGTTACTGTTTGTTGTAATAGGCTGGAGTCTCCTTGTTTGCCAATAAGTGCCAAACCCATATGAAGAACAGAGGTAAGAAAAGTTACTTCTTTTGTTGGCTCATTTTTGTGTCCACAGTTACTACATGGGACTAGGAAAAGGAAAGGAAGGCGATCTGATCTGGACATGCTCATCCTCTCTGACTTTGTGATACTGCGGCAGTTCTGCACTGATCTGAAAAAGCACTTTTATGTAAACAAACTTGCCTCAACTTCGGGGTTAAATTGACTCAGGATGCGAAAATTAAGATACTTAAGGCGATATTATTAGGACGGAAACAGAGAGAATTCATATTTCATTTAAATCTGCTAAAATGAACAAGCACATCAGAAAAATAGATTGCAGTCACATTTTTCAGACAAAGATTGAATATATTCGATAAAATTAACATATTCACTTTTTATTTGAGTGATGGAGCAGCTGCCCCACTCCCCCTCTATGCCACTGGAATCTATTCCACTTGGCTGGATCAAGAAGAGTATTCAAAAGGCTTATGGAGCAGTAGAAGGACGAGGACGGGAGGAAGATGGGGTGGTGTGGAGTGAGGCAGTAATGTGGGAGGCGGACAACTGGGATGAAGAGCAGTAATAAGGGGGAAGGGTTAGAGAATGAAGACTATGCAGTAGATGGAGTGGATATTAGTAGAAAGGAAAGGGTGTAGTTTGAAGGTTAAGTAATGACCTGGGTTGATTTGGAATGGATAGAACTGACAACAAATATCAAGAAGGGGGTATTAGCATCAGTGGCTGGAGCCAGGTAAAAGGAGAGGCGTGTTGGGAAGCCAGAGAAATCAAATTTAGACAGGCTAGTTGATGTCCTAAGAAGGGTAAAAAAAAATAATTATTGGCAATAGCCAGCCTGTAATGAATGGAAAAAAACAGTCTGCCATTTAGTGTCCCTATGAGAGGTAAGGGTTAGTCTACTAACCACGGGAATACCGTGGCTCCCTGAGGCCATCCAGGACTGACAAAACCAGACTTTCATTTTTTGTGATACTTGGTACGCTTCCATCGCCCTCTTCCCAGTTGGTCCCTCCAACAAATGTTCCTTAGGCAAAGCGACCTCCTCAAAGGACTATTATCGAGAGTATAGGATGAGGGTAGGAAGCTTCCTCAAAGACTGTAGAAGGTTCCATTGTACAATGGATAATGCATGGAGTACGTTTCATTAGTTTTATAGTGCATCTTGATTGCCTCTTTTATAGTTATTATATATATATATATATATATATATATATATATATATATATATATATATATATATATATATATATATATATATATATATATATATATATAATTTTTTTTTTTTTTTTTTTTTTTTTTTTTTTTTTTTTTTTTTTTTCACCGGGTCAATGTATACAAAATATTGCGATGGGGTGAATCTTGGGGGCGAAACTCCCTCACAAGGAAAGGTCATCCAGCATTATGATACACTATTGTGGCAAAAAGTTGAAAATGTTTACAATTAGGGCAAGATATCTCATGTTAGAGGAAAGTTCAGATGAAGGCCGTCCAGGACTCCCACAACGGCAGCTCTTCACCCTTTCAGCACGGCTCTTACACTTTAGGATGTGGATGGAAGAGAGGATGAAGACAAGGAAAAAGAGGGAGAGAAATTAAGCAAACATAGTTGGGGCGAAGGCTAAGATCTGGGCCCAGTCTGTAGACCCCTCCCTGGATAACAATGGGCATGGGGTGGGGGACCTTTTTCTTTATACATTCCTCTTTTCCTCACGGTCATTTACATTCTCCTCTTTCATAGATGTTTCTATTCATTTATTCCGTTGCATTCAACAGAACATGACTGATGGAAATCTAGACTAGTCACATAATTGAGTGTGCTCTCAGTGCAAGGGATGTCACTGCATACTTTTTTTTTTCTTTTTATGTAAGGGCATACTTGGGTAAATCCATATTCAACTTGGGGATTTTGCTTAATATTTCAAACAAAAGTCATGAAAACACAATCCAGTTTTGTTTATGCTGTATATTCCTTTGTTTTGATAATTTTGTCCTCAAGGATTTCACTTTTAACCATTGTCCTTAAATTCCAATGAAACATTTCTTTAAAGGTATTTGGGCCCTAAAAATATGTTCTTTCACTGTGTAGTCACGAATCTGCATTAGCTTATTTAAATCCTCAATTTGGGAGGGAACTGAAATCTAGTGTTACAAAAGGACTACCATCTCACAGTTTTCATATAAAAACAATTTTGCTTTTCATATGACCATCAAAGTCCTTTTTTTCATGATGAAGGGGTTCAGGGGTTCATGTTCAAAGTCAGGTTAGTCTTAAGGCCACATGGGCGAGATTTGCTCGATGTGATGTCAGAAATGAAGAAACAGCGAGCAAAGCTTCGTACAAGTTTTCCCCCAATGTTTAACTCTGACTGCCCAATCAATGTCGTTTGGACACCAGCCTTACCTCACAATGTGGCTTTTGTGGCCATGAAACATTCTCCTCCTTGGGAAGGTATAGCCATGGTGTCATTCATACTCTGGATTTTTAATCAGGACCAATCCCTAAGCCCGCTGTCCTGACAAGCTTTAAGACCTTTAACTATTAATATCAGCCTATCTGCAGTAGATATCAATGTGGATAAGGTTTTGTATAATATACCACCTTGATGCTATACTTACCTAGACCCAGGACAGTGATTGAAAGTCCACAATGAAATTCTTAAGCTGGAGGTCACACTAGTCTTCTCTATCCTGGGATCCCAAGACAGCCTCGCCGAAATTAGGCCAACTACAGCAGACCTGACTTCGGCAAAGCTGTCTAGGAATCCCTGGACAGAGAAGACTACAATGACCTTGGCTTAACAAGCTCAAAATCTCAGTAAAAAAGAAAAGAATTCAAACAAGTAAAAAAAAAGTGTAGCTGAGGAATGGCCAAATCCTTAAAGGCCACAACTGCTGTCCTGAGGTATGAGGCTAGGATTATTGCTATCTCTTTTACAGCAAAACTGAAGTATGGAAATTAAGCAAAGCATTAAAAATTGTTGCAAATTGATGAGAGACCCCTGAGTCCTGGGAAGCTCATGTGACATTAGACATCGTGCCTATGGAGTGGGGGTTTCAGCAACATATAAAATTTAATTAATATTAAATTTATTATAAAATGACATACTTACAAAAGCATTACAATTCTTTCAATGCAAAAATAAAGTAAATTGCAAGATAAGTATCTAGTCATTTCTGCAGAAAATTATGAATACAGCACAAATAAGTCTTTCCTCTTACAATAAGTGTTACTTCTGACCAAGCCAGTGCTAAACTGTAGATAAGCCCCAGTCTCTTACCCTGTTAGTCATTGAAGATACATATATTTCTGACAAAGATATAATCGAAACTGGTCAAATACATCACTCACTGAAGAAATTCAATCTCATTCATACCTTTTCTACTTTTGTCGCAATGAACACTTCAAATAAGGCACAACTGTTATCATTCCCTGTTGGTTACTGACAGGATTCTACTCCATGCACTTATGTCAATATACACAATTTACTCATTTTATAGTATGCAATTTTCAAAATTATTACCAACAGTTTCATATTAATTTCTGTAATGTTTGCCTTCTTTTGATACAGTTAATACAGTTTCTTCATGTTTTGTACCTTTTTTCCTGTGACTCACCTCTCTCTTTATATTTGTACATAAAATGGCTTTCTCCTTACCCAACATGCTTTGCTTCTCTTTTCAATGATTTTGATAATATTCTGAGGTGACTTCTCATACACCTCATCATTTTGTTACTTTACAATACCATACTACAAAACGTGTAAGAATTAAGGGATTACCATTTAGGATTCCCTAGAACATATATACATTGAGGATACTTTTTCTCTGGCAAAGGAATTTCACCTCTTAGATGTGGGAGTATGAGGTAGTAGTCTTTAAATTCATATCCAGGAGACTGCCATCTTCTCCAGTATCCAGTATCCTTCCAGCCCAAATTAGTGATTAGTTTTCCAAGATACCTCTTGGTAAATGGATTCTGCCAAGCAATTTCTTCCCTATACGGGATCTGTAACAAATGGTATTCAGCCAAGAATATTTCATGTTGTTACATTTAATTTTCCCAGAGTACCATATTTACAGTCTTGATGGACCATCACTGGCAGCTGAACCTGAAAAGATGAATTGTGATGTCTTGAAAAATGTCTGGCCTTTATACTTAGACCAAAATTATTTAATATTCATTTATAATTAAAACTACATCTAAAGAGATGGGGGGGAAGAAAGATGATGAAAGGGAGGGGGAAGAAAAAAACAAAAAACTACAAGAGAGGGAGAGAAAGAGGAAGATTAATAGAAACAAGAAAGCTCAAGCAGAAAGGGGGTAGGAGGTATGGGAAGGGGAAGGGGAAAGCAGAATAGAAGGAGAGGGAGAGGCAAGGAATGAAAGCATGAGAGGTAAAGGGAGAGAGAGGGAGAGGCAGGGATAGAGGGTAAAGGAGAGGAAGATTTAGTGGAGGAAAAAAATGGGAATGAACAAATGCAGTGACAAAACCTACCTGAAACATTGCCGTCATAGAAGTTTGGATTGTATGCTTGCTGTATTTCTGGGACCGATGAATGTAATGGAGATGATAAACTGACTGCTGGTGTTGAGGGATTTCCGGGGTTTGGTATTGCATCAAGACTTCCAGACTGTAGTGTTGCCTGAGGACTAATTGAATATGGTGGTGCTGTAGGAGAGTGTGAAGGACTTGAAGACTGCCAAGTGCCACTTGACAAAGGAATGTATGGAGGGGGATCTGGCGCATTTTGCAGGCTTGATGGCTTAGGTTTATACAGGGGGGAAGAAATTACTTCTTCATATGATGGAGGATTATCTGATGCTAAATTTACAGGATTGTTTGGTGCTGTTGGGGGATTTATGGAATAGGGTCTGGAAGTGCCCCTGTCTTCTCGGATAGGTGTGCCAGCTGTTCTACTGGAAGGGGATACAAAGCCTGCAACTGTTTGGTCAGAGGACTGGACAGGTGAAAGAGGATGTGAAGCAGACACATCATCATTAATTGCTGTGCGATATGAAAGACGTTTCATTTTTTCCTTGTGCCTGTAAAAGGGAAATGTAATGGTAAGTTAATTCAGACACTAACTGAATTAAAGGTACATCCATGTAAAACAAAATAAATATACTACATTAATACATCATAAATAGAAATAACTACATGGTACTCTTTTTATGTAATTCTCACCACACATTACAGCAGGTTAAAAAATAACAATTTGCATTTCTAAAAAACTTACTTCACAATGGTTCTCCTTATTGCCCAGAACCAGAAAGAAATATTAATCACACCTAGAAGGACTCCAACAATAATTGGTGCAACCTCAGTTTCAACGTCTCCACAGTCACAAGCCATATTCCTTGCAACATGTTTACAACCACTGAAAAATATTACAATAATAGACTGAAGAGGAAAGTTCAGTATATCAATATTGCCTTAAAATATTGAGATGTGTGTTCAGTATAGATTAAAATATAAAAGCAGATATGTGAGAGAGAGAGAGAGAGAGAGAGAGAGAGAGAGAGAGAGAGAGAGAGAGAGAGAGAGAGAGAGAGAGAGAGAGAGAGAGAGAGAGAGAGAGAGAGAGAGAGTGAGTGTGTGTGTGTGTGTGTGTGTGTGTGTGTGTGTGTGTGTGTGTGTGTGTGTGTGTGTGTGTGTGTGTGTGTGTGTGTGTGTGTGTGTGTGTGTGTGTGTGTGTGTGTGTGTGTGTCTCCAACCCACAGATGGAGACACAGAGAAAGACAAATAGACAGACAGACACACAGACAGAATGTAGCACATACCTTGGACACGTACACTCAAAGCTCTTGCATTCTAGGCCTTCAATACAGTCTGTATCCTCTCTACAGTATTCACCTGGTGTAACACGATATTCTGAAAATACATTAATGTGTTGCAGAAATGTTGCTCTTGAGCAAATTCCAGCATGATATGTGTAAATGTGCGGATGTATGTGTGTGTGTTATAATGCTATCTGGAAGTGGCAATACCAATGTCATGCTTATTAATGGGACTAAATATCACTTGTGTATCCTTGCCCTTCTCTACGTTAGAGAGTGATAACAATGAGTGTTAAAATAAAAAAAGTGTTGCACAAATTAAACATCTCATTTCAAATCAAAGGTTAGTGGAAAAAAGATAAACAGATGCACATCACCTATGGCTTACATTTTTGTAAAAAAAAATATATATATATATACATATTTACCAAGCATTGATATTTCTTCAACTTAAAATAATTTAGCTGAATTTCATTTCAGGCTTACGCACCAGTCCTTCGTGTCCGGGTCAAATATGATTCCTTTGACTCACACTGTCCGTATTTGTTTGGTATGTAGCCCCTGGCACAAAGACGAAGATAATTTTTTTTTTAAATCATAAAAGAGTCTTTTAATAACATTAATGATGATAACAATACTTCCTTTTCCTAAATGAAACTTGAATTTTTCCTGTGATTAAACTTTAGAGCAACATAACTGGTCTCAAGTTAACTGAATAGAGTCTGCACATTACAGAGAGAGAAAAGTCAATTACAGTGATCTAAGTGAAGATAATAGATACAATTTTCCTCTTTACACTTAATCAAGTATAAAAAATCTGTCTTCACATTTTATACAAATGTGGGCTTTTTAAAACTATTTCTTTAGGACTGGGTGATGTAAACATTCCATCTACAATGAAACTAGATGACTGTCAACTTTTTAAGAAAATTAGCTATTTAAGATTCATTACTTACTTAGTGCAAACACATGTATTTTCAATACAAATACTATGTTTGTTAATATCACACATTTCTGTATCTGCTCCATTTAAATTTATTTTGCACTGCTTCATCACACCCTGTAGTTTTACTGTAAGAAGGAGAGTTGGCTTAAAAATCTAATCAAATTTACATCAATATTTGTCAAGTTCAAATTATCATTAACTACCCCTATGACCTGATTAGCTTGTATAAGAGAGAACTGAAATATCACAAAAAATGTAAATATCTTTTAATTGTTGAATAACCTTTCAGCTGCTCTGTACAAATAGTCTAAAACATAAGCTCACTAAATAATTTTATCTCCTGCAATACAGGAACTTATTGCATGAGTTTTACATTTTAATATTTTCTCATATAGATAAATGTTAATCACTAAATGAAAATCCACTCTTTCAGATAATTTAATCTGTTACATTAATTTGACTTTTATCTGCAATACCATGGTAATCTCAAATTCAATGTGAGCAATGCAAGAATATCTTACCTTTACGGCATGAAGAATTAATTCTGTAAAACCCTTCATTACATTCACATTTCACGGATATGCACTTGGCATTTTCCCAACACTCTTCATCCTTTGTACACAATTTCTCATACTGCCCTGCAAAAGTCAAAATAATAAATAAAACTTCTCATATAACACACAGAAACAACCACTCCCAATTATTCTTTTCTCATGCAAAAAAGAAAAAAAAAAAGGACTTACAAGACCTACATATTGGTGTAAGAGAATTCCCTATATACCAAATCTCAGTACAATTACAGATCCCGTGTATGCAAT